GTACAGAGAGGAGCAACCAAGATGATTAGGGGACTGGAGGCTAAAACATATGAAGAACAATTGCAGGAACTGGGCATGGTTAGTCTAGTGAAGAGAAGGACCAGGGGAGACAGGATAGCAGTCTTCCAATATTTGAGGGGCTGCCACAAAGAGGAAGGGGTCAAGGTATTTTCTAAAGCGCCTGTAGGCCAGACAAGGAATAATGGATGGAAACTGCACAAGGTGAGATTCAACCTGGAAATAAGGACAGTGAGAACAATCAACCCATGGAACAGAAGTTGCCTTCAGAAGTTGTGGGAGCTTAATCCCTGGAGGCTTTCAAGAAGAGACTGGACTGCCATCTGTCAGAAATGGTGTAGGATCTCCTGCTTGGGTTGGATTGGACTAGATGACCTACAAGGTCCTTTCCAACTCTATATCCCTACCTGTCCCCAGTGTGAGAATTCCAGCGGATAATTAATTTCTTCTAGATTTGTTTACACGGATTCTGATTCAGAAGCAGTGCTTCTCCACCCCAGGGCTGGCTGGAGAGTCTCTTCCTTGCTGGGGAATTCTGGGGAATTCACCTTCAAGCTGCCTGGGTTGAGAAACAGGGCTCTAGAAAATGATACAAGGATGTAAAGAGGACGGGCCCGTGTCCCAGGTGTTTGTGTGGGCAAGTTTTCCTCTTTCCACGGATTTCTCCCCGTGGTTGTTAAGCAGCGTGAAGTCCATTTCTACACTTTGCATTTGGAGAAGACCAGGGCTGGGCTGCTGGGGGTTCGCAGGGGAGCCCCCAGTGAAGATTCTGTGCAGTTTGGAGAACCCCTAAATCCCACTCCTGGCTGGCTCCGCCCACCTCACCCCTCCCCTCCTAGGAATCCCCACGAGGCCTGTTTTGGATGCAGGATGCATGCGGAGGGTTAGGGTGGGTGAAAAATGGGCCTCCTGGAAGTTTGGGAAGGCTGGAAATGGGCCCGAGCCTCCAGAGCCCGTTGAGGCCATTTTTTTCCCCTCCTGGAGGGTTGACAAAAGCCTCCAGAGCCCGGGGAGGGCAAAAATGCCCCCCCCCCGTGTGGTGCAGGAGGCCAACTTGGCCATGCCCATCATGGTCACGCCCACCCAGCAACCAGGCAGAGAATCTTTTGCTAAAATTTTTGAAGCCCACTCCCTGGAGAAGATTCTACAAAGGGCTGCGGATCTGGGCTGCGCCAAAGCAGCTGAGCACCAGGTAGGTAAGCAGAGAGGTGTAGAAATCTCTTCACTTTGTTGGCATCTAGCGGGCATCTGGATTTTTGCAACACAGATTTGATAGCCTGTCTCAGGGACCGCCTAAAGGAGTTGCCTTGGGTCTCCTATTTTCTCAGTGTTTACTTCCAGCTTTTGTCCCAGAATTGCTCTGAGATTTAAGGGCTGAGAAGTTTTCCTCTGGAGCCAACTGATCGCCTTGCTTCCTACCCTGGTGAACTGTTACCTTTCAACATGTTGTAACTGCTCCTTTAACTGCAGGGAGTAGATTATACTCCTGGACTTTTTATGCAACCTACTTTGCTTAATATTAGCAGAAAGAATCCACTTACCCTGATTTCATTTGGCATTTTGTCACATGTTTGCCTTTATTGATTCTCAACAATTCCTACATGCTCTTTCGTCTTTCTTTTCAGTGATTTAGCTTTGATTGATCCTTTGTAGCCAGTCATTTTAAATAATATAATAGTCCCTCAGGATTAGCCCTGGTCAGATCAAATATTTCTTTCTGTTATCTTCCTGATTCCTTTTTTTTAAAAAAACACCCTTCTCAGTATTTCTTTTTAGCCCTTCCAAAATTCTTTGCGGCTTTGCTCTCCATTCCAAATCTTGCATGAAGACACTATCCAGTTTTCAATGCTGATTCTACTACAGGTTGTGCTTGACTTATGGCCACAATTGAGACCCAATTTATGTTGCTAAGCGAGACATTTGTTAAGTGAGTTTTGCCCCATTTTATGACCTTTCTTGCTTACATTCGTTAAGCGAATTATTGCAGTTGTCAAGTTAGGGATTATTGGGTTAAAGTGATACACTTCAAAAGACCCAGCCGATGCGTCCAATGAGTTCCCAGAATTCCCCAGCTGACATGGTCATTCTGGGGAATTCTGGGAATAGAAGATCACACATCTGGAGTAGTCAAAATGGGGTTGAGTTGTTCCAAAGCAATTCATCATTAAAAAATGTCTTCTGTTCACTGGATTGTTAACATTTGGTCCTTAAGGACCAAATGATTAGAACAGGGATTAGAACAGGGATTCTGAATGATTAGAACAGGGATTGTGTTGACCCAGGGTGTGGCACAAAGGCAACACAATCACATAAGTAAGAAAAGTCCCTTTACTATCTCCAACTTTGTCCCCAATGTCCAGGTTACCTTCGGTTGGAGAAAAAAACTCTCCCCAAAACAATCTTTTTGTGGAGGAAATTCAGTCCGAAAACAAAGTACATACAAATTGTAAATAAAAATCCACACAAACCACGCTGCAGTAATTAACTTGACAGGACAGGAGAAGGAATTGCAGACTTGAAGGGCCAGCAAAACACACACAGTTGGGAAGATGCCAGGAACCCAGATAAGCCTCGGCAATACCAGATAATTCATGATTTGCTCTCAACAGTTTGCTGTGTGCAACTTCCCTTTTTAAACACTGTATTCCCAGCTGCAGCTAATGAAGGGAATCAGGGCCCTTTCCTCCCCCATAAGCCACGCAACTCATGTTGTTCCCTTCTCCATTCCTCCCTGTGTGCCCTAGGATGAAGAGGGGGTGGGCCTGTCCTCTCTCCCTTGCTCTACCTCTCCCTTGCTCTGCCCAGCCAGACTTTGCCCTTCCCCAGTTTCTTCCACAGCCAACAGAGCCACACTCCCACTCCCTGTCAGTGCTTGGCCTCCCCCTCCGAATCAGATTCTGAAAGGGGCATGACAGGGGTCTCCAAACTTGGCAGCATTAAGACTTGTGGACTTCAACTCCCAGAATTCTGGGAATTGAAGTTCACATGTCCTAAAGTTGCCAAGTTTGGAGTCCTCTGGATTAGAATACCAATAAAGCATTCATTCTGTTTGGAATATTCTACCTTTGTGTCACCTTTGTTAGGCAGTTATGGATTCTACTTGATTGCAGGCATATATAGCCATGTATTGTGACTGGTTCTCTTTTTGTCCCTCCTTGATGGTTTCTCCCATATTTATCTTCCAAAACATTCTGAAAATCACCTCTGCGTCCGAGTCCTTCTGAGATTGTCACAACAGTGGCATCTCTTTCATCAAGATGCATTCTCAAGGCTATTTCTCTATAAGGGTTTTGTGTGTGTGAAAAATAATCCTGAGGGGGTTTCCAAAAATATTGTATTCTCTTTGCAACCCTCCGATGATTCTTACCTGTGACTTCATCACAATACATTTATTTAAGGACAGAAAAAACCCAAATTAGTAGCATAATTTCGATGTTCTTAGGAAACGACAATCTGGAAGCACCTCAGGTGAGATTCACAGCTTGAACCTAAGCCAGCATATGGTGTTGTATGAATCTAGCCATTGTAAATTGTAAACAGTGGTTTATAGCTAAATGTATTCATGATGGCTTAATGGTTTAATGTTAAATCAAGACATGACTGAATGCACTGTCAGAAACTGTTATTCTGTATTAAGTTGTGCATTGTACATTCAAAAGAACTTTCAGCCAAGCAACAGAGTCACTTTATCAATGAGATGGATGGCATATACATTTAACGAATACATTTAATAAATAAAAATAATACATTACTCCCCCCTCCCCCCCAGTATGTTAAAAGAATTATTTTCAGAAATGTTATGAAATGCTGCTTGGGCTATTTGGTGGAATTTTAAGCTGCTCTATTTATTTTTTAAATATTTGGTTTTAGTTATAGCTTTGCATTGGGGAACTAATTATTGTCAGCTTCTTCAAGTTCCACTTTCTAAACTCAAAACAGAATTTTAAACTAGCAGCTTGGAAAATCTTTTGTGACCCTCAGACCTAAAGACCATTTTGCAATGTCTGGCTGAGGCTCCCCCAATCGGATATTCTTCAAACATGCTGGACTACAATTCCCATTCTTCTTGATTACCGTGGCACTTTGCCAAACCAGCTTGGCAACAAGGAAGATGTAATCTTTATGGAGGCATCAGCTTAGATAAGATGGTCTTATCTAATGAATAATGAAAAAGTGACCTTCCAATTGTAGCTGATGATAACCCATTTATCAGCATTCTCTTAGAATGAGGGATGTGGGCAGTTATAGTCCAGTTCTGGATGCAAGATCAGAAATCTCACATCCCTGATTCTGGGTAAGAGTCTTATTTCTGGTGTTGGGTGTGGCTGGAGTGCAAGCACGAGACCTGCCAATTTGTCCTCTGTCACAATTCTGCACAAATGCACAGCCCTAAAGTCTTGAATTATGCATGAGAATAAAATGGACAAGGGGAAGATGTTTCTCTCCTCCCAAAACACTAGCATCAGAAGATCACCCTATGAAATCTTTGAAAAATCAAGACAGACAAAAAAGAAATAATTCAATTTTGGAATTTGCTACTATGAAATGTTGTGGAAATTAGGTGGCCAATCTTCAGTGTCGTTCCTTGGCCAGACTTGGGTCTAAGATGGACCAAAAGGGAACTTCTTTCTTTAATCAGAAGAAAGGACCCCAGGATATAGGACTAGGGGAAATATTTAGACCCTTGGTTACAATTTTCCATTTATTTAAATGTATTAACAATGAACAATACTGTAGGATAGATAGATGGATGGATGGATGGATGGTTGGATAGATAGATGGATGGATGGATGTGGATTGATGGATAGATAGATGGATAGATGGATGGATGGATGGATAGATAGATAGATGTGGATGGATGGATAGAAAGATGGATAGATGGATAGACAGAAGAATATATAATCTTATTTAATTAGATAAGAACATGGAATTGCCTAATAAAAAAGCTAAATTGGCCATTGTTTTTTCTTTTTCCCTCCTAGATCTCATTCTATACCAAGATGAAATCCATCGCCATGAATATCTTCCTTTCTCTGTTGATTGGTAAATGCTTGTCATTCTTCTTCATCTTTGGTCTTCTCTGGGGAGCAGGGGTGTCAAACTCGCTGTCTTCACGGCATCGTCATGTGACGTATCAGGACTTCCCCCCACTTCACTAAATCGGGTGGGGGTGGAGCCAGCATGTGACACATCCAACCCTTGACCAGCGAGTTTGTCACCCCTGATTTAAAAGTATTTTGGGGAATCTGTCAGGTGCAAAAGGTCAGGTCTACCCAACTAAACTGATTTATTGCCTATATGCACAGGAGTCTTCCCAACTAACAATTAGCACTTGCTTGGTATTAGATAAGGTTCAGAGGAGTTTATGGTGGGTTGGGCTTAGTTTGCTTGTGGCTATGTAAGGATTCTAGGCAGATCCCTTTTTAATTCTGCCTCCAGGTTCTGCCAGTCCTTCTGACCTTTCTCATAAATCTGCAGTGACAGAGATAGCTCCCTTCACCTTGGGGGTAGGCTAATGTCCAACTTTTATCCCTAATTCTATTTCTCCCAATGGTTGGTGGTCTCACATCTCTGGTTGCACAAAGCAAAGAACAACTTCAGCAACCAGTTTTCTTAAGTTATAAGCAGTGTACTTGCCATTGGAAAGAGATAACACATACCCCCACATCACCTTTTTAGATGCTTCTCTGAGGCGGAGCCTTTCCTCAGACGAGATCCAACTACCACAGTAGATTTGTAGAAGCTGGATTTGAAAGTTAATATTTACCATCCATTTCAGAGGTGGCATTCAGCAGGTTCTGACCAATTCTGGAGAACTGGTAGCAGAAATTTTGAGTAGTTCAGAGAACTGGCAAATACACCTCTAGCTGGCTCTGCCCCCATCTATTCTCTGCCTCCCGAGTCCCAGCTGACCAGGTGGGTCTTCCTTTGTTGCCTTGCACAGGAGAACAGAGCTGGAAATCGGGTGGGAAGGGAATGGGGATTTTGCAGTATCCTTCCCCTGCCACGCCCACCAAGCCACACCACACCGCATCCACAGAACCAGTAGTAAAAATTTTTTGAATCCCACCACTGAATTCCATTTCCAAAAATTTAGAATGCTTATCTCATGTGGCTAAGCCAATCACGAGAAGAGAGGCGTAGTCATTCATGAGATTGGTCCTTTGGGACATGACATGAGGGAGTTGGGGTCCTGAGAAAATTGGGCAGTGTGTTTGGACTACTAGGGCTGCATATCATTAAACCACTGGTTTTGAATGAATGTTTTAAGAACCAATGAGTGCCCTCACCTACTCAGTGAACGATGTAGTGCAGAAGAGACGTGGAGAAAGGATTGTCTCTTCTCTATTACATTCTCTTCTCAATAGCATCTTTAGAATTGGGAGGCAAAAATTGAGGCCTGTATTTTTTTAACATCACTTGAGAATTATTTTTTTTCCACCTCATGTTTGCAGGGTTCCCTGTTCTGAAGGCAAGTGACCTTAAAGGTGAGTAACTTCATAAGCTGATGTCTCGGAGCTTCCTATAAACTGGGCAGAAGACCACTTCAAAATTCTACTGAAGATAGCATTAGCACTTAGACTTATATACTGCTTTACAGTGCTTACTCTAAGCAGTTTACAGAGTCAGCCTATTGCCCCTAACAACTTTGGGTCCTCATTTTACCCACCTCGAAAGGATGGAAGGCTGAGTCAAAACCTTGAGCCTGGTGAGATTTGAACTGCCAAATTGCAGGCAGCTAGCAATCGGCAGAAATAGCCTGCAGTACTGCACTCAAACCACTGCGCCACCATAGCTCATTGTGAAAAACTAGACCAGGGATCCCAAACTCTTCATCTCATTGATGCCATCTTGATTCGTCAACCCCTAAACATTTATTATACAAAATAATTTAATAAATACTGTACTACTTTTAATTCATAGCGCTATGAATAACAACCCCTTGGATATCCCATTGACAGTTGGGTGTGGGTGGGGTTCAATACTGACCACTTGGAAGATCTCTGAAGTAGACTATAGAGGTCCCTGCTCAGCTTCAGTAGAGTTTCTAGATGGGTGTTAGCGGTGGTGGGTTTGGAGAGATTTCTTTCAAGCCAGAGGAAATCCTTCAAGGCATCATTGAGTTCAGTCAACAGGGATTAAGATGCGCTGATCTGCAGTAGGTTATTCCTGAGGGTCCTTTGAGTGACACGTCTGAGGAAGCGAGATATAAGAGTGGACAGGAAGCAAAACAGAGCTAAGACAGGAAGATTTACAATCTCAATAAGGTATGGGGAAACAGGTCCTCCAGATGTTTCCAAAATCACCTTCAGTGCCATTGTCTATGTTGGCTTTTATAGTTAGCGTTGCAGCTCAGCAACATTTGCAGAGCTATGCTCAAGAATAAAGCAAGGTTCATACCCTTGCAATTTTGCATTTAAACAAAACACGATGAACATATTTGGAACTTCGGGTTTCTGTCTTAGGCCTAAAGATATTTATCCATGTAGTAGGCTGTGTTGCTATTATCCTTCTCATCCTTCTCATCTTCTCATCTTCTCATCTCTCCTCCCTATAGTATCTATCATTATCACTTATAGTCGTAGGTATCCTATGATTAATGATTGTAACTGTGATGCATGATATATGACAGTGATGGCAATGATGCCATAGTTTCACCATCATGGATATATGACCTATCACTTTGTTGTTTGTATGTACACTGAGAGCTTATGCACTGGAGACCAATTCCTTGTGTGTCCAATCACACTTGGCCAACAATGGATTCTATTCTACTGTACATAGCCTGGAATCCTTTGCTATTTGCCTACCTAGAGTTGCAGATCCCAGGCAAACAGAACGTTAACTCTCTTTCTTTTCCTTTATCCAGATCAAGACAACCCCTTTGATTATGGTAAGTATATCTTATTCTCCGCCATGTTTTCATAGTGTGTGTGTAGAAGTAGGGCTTATAGAAAGGAGGAAGCAATATGGGGAAAAATAGAATAGAATAGAATGGAATGGAATGGAATGCAATGGAATGCAATGCAATGCAATGCAGTGCAATGCAATAGAATATTGTACCCCATCAAAGCCTCTTTCCCACATCTATATATTCGTGTGGCTTATTTTGTATGCATTTCCTTCAAGAATGTTATTTTTTTTCCCCTTTCCACCAAAATGCCCCCTAAAGACAAACTCTCCCTTTCTTAGCCAGCCGCAATTCTTCAGCCCAGGGGAAAGCTGTCCTCACTTTTTTGCTTGTGAAGTGGGTGGTATTGAAATGAGCAAGAAAGGCTTTTGCTGCTAATCTCGAACAAGTCTCAACGGCCTCCTTTCTCTTCCAGATTGGGAGTCGCTCCGTATTGGTGGTTTGGTCTTTGCAGGCATTCTGTGTTTTCTGGGAATTGTTATCCTCCTGAGTAAGTGGGAACAACAATGAGGGGAAAGAGAAGAATTCGGGGAGACGGGGGTGGGTGGGGAAGGCTGGCTGTGTCAGAGAGCTGGCTGTGTTTTTCCTTTGCTCTCCCCATTCGTTTTTTCTTTTGCTCTTTCTCCCTCCCTCCTTCTTTCTCCCCCTTTTCTCCCTCCCCTCCCTTTCTTCCTCCCTCCCTCTTTCTCTCTCCCCTCCTCCCTCCCCTCTTTCTCCCTCCCTCCCTATTTCTCTCCCTCCCTCCCCTCTTTCTCCCTCCCTCCTCCTTTCTCCCCCTCCCTCCCTCCTCTTTTCCCCCTCCCTCCCTCTTTCTCTCTCCCCTCCCCCTCCTCTCCTCCCTTTCCCTCTTCTCTCCCTCCTTTTCTCTCCCTCTTCCCTCCCCTCCCTCCCTCTTTCCCTCCCTCCCTTTCGCTCTCTCCCCTCTCCCTCCTTCTCTCCCTTTCCTCTCCCTCCATTTCTCTCCCTCTCCTCTCCCTTCCCTCTCCCTTTCCCCCCTTTTCTCTCCCTCACCCTCCCTCTCTCTCCCCCTCCCCCCTCAAGTTGTCAAGCCAAAGAGAGGTCTGCTATTTTTAGAAGTAATTTGATCTGTAAGCCTTTCGGTCTACCTTAGAGGATGCAAATACTTTAAATAGATTTACACCCACCCCAAACACCAAGAATTAACCACAGCCACCCCAAGACTTTTAGCTGCCTGAGGTCAAGGACTCCCGTTTGTTTAAACACAACGTCTCCTTTCATCGTTGTGGGGCAGGAAATTATATGAGGGCGATCGTGAATGGCTGGGTGAAATACATAAGCCTTCCAAAGAGGAATCACCGGGAGCTCAGAACTACTACAGGTAGTTCTTGACTTACAACAGTTCATTCAGTGGCCGTTCGAAGTTACAACGGTGCTTAAAAAAGTGACTTGTGACTGTTTTTCACACTTACGACCGGGGTAGCTTCCCCATGGTTATGTGATCCAAATTCAGGCACTTGGCAGCTGACTCATATTTATGAGGGTTACCGTGTCCTGCCGTCATGTGATCACTTTTTGATGTAGGGTCTCCTGCTTGGGCGGGGGGTTGGACTAGTTGACCTACAAGGTCCTTTCCAACTCTGATTGTTATCTGTAATACGAGTTGGTTTCTCCCTCGACCTATTCATAAGACCCCCGCCCCCACCTCCCAGTGCAATCATTGGCAATGAAACAAATGTGTGTCAATCAACCTCACAATGTTTCTGATCGCTTTCCCATTAACTCTGATTTTTCAGAGCTGAGATTGGGGGTACATGACACATAACTGATTTGAACAATTCCTAGGATTCATGAGACAAACCTAGTTTGGGCTATTGGACAGACAACAATTCCTTTCGGGACCGATTCACATCAGCAGCTAGATTCACATTCTCCAACATGCCATGATGTAGATCTCTTGGCTTTGGCTCAGCCATGGTGAAACACAATTATGGCTTAACTAATCCACCATAGCTAACCATAACACAGCTAACCTAGCAACCCCTTTTACATTACTACTCTTTTTGCATTTTAGTATTTTAACGACCGTGGGCCTCAGTTTTAAGGATGGATATTATAGTATAGATAGGCCATGTGTAACTGACCGATTGGATGCCAAATTGTGATTTTAATATGCGTTATTTATTAGTTTATTCTAGAATTCTTCGCTGGATATTCCTTGAGTGTTTTTATTTGTTCTGGTAATCTTTGACTGTAATAAACATTGGTTTGATTTGAATTATGGTTTAACATAGGATAGGAATCTGGCCAATAACTTCCATATGCAAAGTGCGTTTTAAGAGTTGCAGCAGAACCCCAGTCTCTTCTGGAATGGAGCCCAGGTCTATCTAGTCCAGTGTTTCCCAACTTCAGCCATTTTGAGATACGTGGACTTCAACTCCCAGAAATCTGGCTGAGGAATTCTGGGAGTTGAAGTCCACTTTCCTTAAAGTTGCCAAGGTTGGGAAACATTGATCTTACCCATAGAGCAGAGGCCTCCAAACTTGGCAACTTTAAGATTTGTGGAGTTCAACTCCCAGAATCCCTCAACTAATCATGATGGCTGGGCAATTCTGGGAGTGGAAGTTCACAAGCCTTAAAGTTGCCATGTTTGGAGACTCCTGCCATAGAGTATTGCAACAGAGTGGCTCTCCTGCTTCCTACTAGATGTTTTGTAGATGCTCTAGGAAGACGCAAGAACTGAAGCTGTTTTGCCTGTTAAACTGTCTTAGATGTGTCAGCTGTCCTGGGTGGTTTTTTGCCTCCTTTTCTCTTTTTAATTATTGCTCTTCTCATCCCTCCCCACCAGGTGGAAAGTGCAAATGCAAGCCCAAAAAGAAAAGCAGGTAAGAGATCTTTCCCTAAAACAGCCGTGGGGGCATGTTAAGACGGATTGGAAGGGGTGGTGTCCTGTTAAGACAGTGTTTCTCAACCTTGGCACCTTTAAGATGTGTGGACTTCAACTCCCAGAATTCCCCAGCCAGCATGGCATTCTGGGAGTTGAAGCCCACTCTATACATATTAAAAGTTGCAAGATTGAGAAACACAGGGTTTTAAGCTCACTTGGGTAAGCACCTTGGGCTTCACGCTCATTTGGGACAAGAGCGATGCTGAATCTCCTTTCCAAAAATGAGAAGGAGGAGTGAGGATTCTTGGCTCCAGCTTCCTTAACCTCAATTTTCCCCCCTCTCTTTTAGCACGCAGATCAGTGGGGCACCAAAACAACCCCTTGCAGGTAAGAGAACCTGCGGAGGATTCTGTGTGGATAAAGAATTGCCCTCCCTCTTTCCTGAGTCAAATTTTTATGTGGGGCGGGGGGGAAAAACCATGCCATTTCTCTTACCTAAAATGTGCCTTGTTATTTGGTTTTCTCACCTGTGTCTTCTAGGATCCAGTGAGTGCTGAACGGAGCTCCTTCTCATGTTGCCACCTGCCCTGATTGTTCTGGGTGAAAACGGTTCTCTGCCTGACCAATGAGCCACCATCTTGTTTTGTTGCCTTTTCTTCTTGCATTTGTTTTGTGAAATAAAATCTCATTGCCATTCCCCCAATGTATGAACAACTTTACAATGCAATAGAATTGCTCGGCCACCAGATTAGAGATCCACTTTGTGGGAAGTGGTTGGCTTAACTCTGATTTATTAACTAAACCAGGGGTCGCCAACCTGTTTTGGACCTCAGGGACCACCAAACTCATAATTTTAAATCCCGTGGACAAGAGAACCTGAGAAAATCCACCAAAAGTCTGCAGGAAAATTCCCCACCCCGTTTTCCTACCTATCGATCATTCTTTATTTGGGATCACAGGATACCATCTTCAGCTCCGTTCTCAGGGAGAAGGAGGGAGAGAGAGAGACTTTTGGCTTCATGCAAGGAAAGCAGCAGAAGCAGCAGAAGTCTTTCTTTCGCTCCCCCAAACTCTGCCAGAAATGAATCTTTGTGAGACTTGTCATGCTGGTGCAGCCCCTTGGAGCAGGATGCCTTACAGGGTCCCAAAGATTCATTTCTGGTTGAGTTTGGAGGAGAGAAAAAAAGACTTTTGCTGCTTTCCTTGCGTGCAGCCAAAAGCAGAAAAAGAAAGAAGTGGAAAGAAGCAGCCCAGGCATGTGGGGCGAGTGGGGCAAGTTCCCCCCTCCACCCTTTCCCCTCTCCCCTCACTACCTCATGTTGTTTGCAATGCAGCAATGCAAGCCTTGTGTTCTCGCGGGCCATGTGGGCAGCTCAACCTTGTGTTCCCGCGCAGCCTGGATTAATTGCTTTTGGGGTGCTTTTGGGGTGACATTTCTCTGCAGGCCACCAAAATTTTCTCATGGACCACCAGTGGTCCCCGGCCCACTGGTTGGCGACCACTGAACTAAACAAGACCTGGGTTGCATGATGCAGAAGATCAGAAACAAGCAACCTATGTTGACTTAGTCCATTAGTCCTTGATTTATGGGCACAATGGACCCCGTGGTTAAGCACAGTTGTCCAGTTCCATTTTTATGACCTTTTTGCCACAGCTTTTAAACTAATCACTGCGGTTGTTAAGTGAATCATATAGTCACTAATGACTTTGGCTTCCCCCGTTGATTTTGCTGGTGGGAATCCAGCTGGGAAGGTTATAAATGGTGGATCACATGATCCCAGGACATTGCATCCATCATAAATACATGCCAGTTGCCAAGTGCCCAAATGTTGATCATATGACCATGGGGATGCTGTAACGGTTGTGTGAAAACCGGCCATGTCACTTTTTTTTTCATGGTAATGGTCACTAAACAAAGTGTTATAAGTCGAGGACTACCTGTGCTTCATTCTGTACCACTGAGCATATGCCTTGCTCACTTTCTGGATCACCCTTCTGGGCAAACCCTGTCCATGGTGGCTTATTCAATAAATCCTAGTTAAACTGTGGTTTAACATAATATGTCCAAGAGCTGTGTTACCTTTTTCGACTCGGTGTTTCAGTGCTTTGATTGTTGCAAAGAACTTGTATGAAAAGGATTTGGGTTGTTTTTTTTTTGTTTTGCTCCAGTTGTCATTTTAAGGACAGGGGGATCGATCTCCCTCCTTTTGGCTCTGAGTAACTTCCTTGAGCATCTGGAAAGTGGGGACAAGTCCCAACACTCACGAGCCCACAAACCAGAGGTGGTATTCAGCAGGTTCTGTCCAGTTCTGGAGAACTGGTAATGGGACATTTTGAGTAGTTTGGAGAACCAGCAAATCCCACCTCTGATTGGCCCCGCCCCCATGTCTTCTCTGCCTCCTGAGTCCCAGAAGATAGGCTGGTCTTCTTTGGTTGCCCTGCACAGGAGAACGGAGCTGGAAAGCAGGTTAGTGGGGTGGGGAGGGAATGGGGATTTTGCAGTATATCCTTCCCCTGCCACGCCCAACAAGCCACGCCCACAGGAACGGGAGTAAAAAAATTTGAATCCCACCACTGCCACAAACAATATATTGACTTTTATTTACAATGTATTGTATGTGGGATGCCACATTGCGAAGGGAAGCCCGTAGAGAAAACCAACATGTCCTTCTAAAGAAACCTTGTGTGGTGTATTTTCTGCCTGAGCTGTGTCTTCCCTCCAGTGCAGCGATAGGAAGGTATACAATAAAGTAACTCCACTCCTAGAAGGAGATTCAATGACTCTGAATAACACGATGGCTATTTACAGGTTGAAAAATTAAACGCCGGACTGTATTCCTTGCAAGTCCATCTCTGTTTCAGCTCACAGTTCTGTCCAGAATGGTTCCCATCTGCCCATTTTGTCGATGAGTCTTTGCGCCTCTTAATGTTTGTTCTCTCTCTCTTCCCCCCACCCTCCAAAGTCCTTCTCCGGTCGATCGAGATTTCCTGGGACCCCTTGTTGTGCTTCGGTCGTGTCCCTCCCTGACATAGTTTGATGGCGGACATTGTGTATGTTTATACATCCTTAAACTGGGAAATAGAAAACGCCCATTAAAACATACTGGGTGTAACCAGCAGATGACTGTAATGTTACTTGATGTAGGTGGGCTTTGGAGAAAGTTCCACCGAATGCTGGAAAATGTTCATTGGAAAATGTAGCGCCTGTCTCAGTGAAAGGTTGAGGCAGGCTTCCAGTAAGACTGAGTGGGAGACAGGCCAGTATGTATGGCCTGGGCTGTAAATCCCAGTTAAGATCAAAGTGACTTATTCCTAGGGAAGTAGCAATAGCACTTAGACTTATATACCGCTTTACAGTGCTTTACAGCCCTCTCTAAGCGGTTTACAGAGTCAGCCTATGGCCCCCAACAATTTGGGTCCTCATTTGATCCACCTCGGAAGGATGGAAGGCTGAGTCAACCTTGAGCCTGGTGCGATTTGAACTGGCAAATTGCAGTCAGCCGGCAGTCAGCAGAAGTAGCCTGCAGTACCACACTCTAACCACTGCGCCACCTTGGCTCAAGTATATCATACAAAGCTTATACCATAAGACATTTAAAGAGGTTCCAAGATTCTTTGGCTGTGTTCACACAACATTTTGGGCCGATGATTTGGGATAGCCGAAAAACTCCCCCCATATGATAAGTTAACATCGTGGCCTAGTTTCCACAATAGATTAAGATCCCCCCAAACTGAATCCTAAGCTATCAACTCCATTTGAACAGACCCTGTCGCACTGTGTGAACTCAGCCATGAATTGGTGTTTGCTTTTTTGAGCAGGTACGCATGGGTTACAGTTATCTGATGCACAATTGCACAATATTAAAAAAAAAATGTTTTCAAAAGAAAACAGCCATACAAGCAAGCAGGCAAAATAAGCCAAAAATAAAATAAAAATAAAATGTTTTCAAGAATGCATTAAAAGGGAAGAAGAAAATCCAACCGAATCAACCTCCTCCTTGTTAGGAAATGATAAGAATGGGGGAAAAAAAGAATGGAAATTCTGAGCAATTCTGAAGAGGATTGACCTCTGTATAAAATGAAGAGTTTTGTTGGAGGGGGTTTCTGAGTTAACCCCATTGCAAAACTGCAAACTCTCTCTGCCCTTTCTGGCAATGGCAGCATCCATTTATCATCATTTGACAGGTCAAAAGAAAAGATAAATCTGCTGATTCTGCTGCCACTCAAGTTGCATTTGCTAGTGATTGATTATGGCTCTTAAGTCGCCTAGCTCCCACCTGTTGGCCAGCTGTTATCTCGGGCCAGTGGAGAGGTGCACCCTCAACAGCATCTGCTTCCAATGCTGTCCCCCTAGTGGATGCCTCTGGTACTGCACTTCCCAGGTCTTCTCCTGGGCTGCTTCTCCCTGCGGTAGCTGCCTCCTACCTTCGATCCATGCGCCCCGCCCAGCCCCACTGTCGCTGGGCTCAGGCACTCAGATCAATGATGACGTGGCGATAAATATGTGTCTTGCCCTTGAAGCTGGAGGCTATCAGGAAGTCTTGCTTGTCAACGTTGAGGTGGGCAAAGGAACGCGGGGCCTGAGTGTTGAGCTCCTGGAAGTGCTGGAAGAGGCCAGTGATGGGATCATAGCGGTAGACTTTGCTGAAGGAGTAGTCATTGCCAAGAAAGGCATAGCGATAGCCGGCGATGCTCAGTGGTTGGAAGACCATGGAGCCACGAGAAGGCATCTGCTGGACATCTCGAAACATGGAACCATCCCAGTGCATCACCTGTGGAGAGCAAAAAACAAAAAAAAAGGACTCAAATGCAATTTCTTGAAGATCATTTCAGTAAAAGGGAGTACAGAGCAGTGTTCGGTGCCCCTAAAACCACAGCAAGTCTTATAAAGATGTGAGTGTTATTATGGGGGAAAGGAACCGAATGTTAAGTCCAGACGCAAAGACAATGGGAAAAAAATGAGAGTCAACCAAGAAGAGGGATTTTATTTATTTCTCAGTGAGCAATCTACTTGATTCATAACCGATGACCCATTGGAAAAGAAAAACTGATTTATCTTGACCCAATAAATTAGATTTTTATTGAGCCAAGATTGACCCATATGCCTTGGGCATTTACTCTTCTAGCAAGAATCATGAAGGCATAAACTTAACTTAATGTAGGAACTCATTCAAGTCCCAGAATTTCTACCTGGAGGCCTTATAGTCTAAAGTCAGCAAAGAGAGCACAGGTGAAATTGGGTTAAATAAGCTAACTCTTCCATCCTTCCAATTTGACAATGGGAAGAAGGTACCTGACTCAGTCTCTAAATGGGTCTAGAACCGATACAGTTGCTTTGAGCTTGAAGAGAAAGGACCAAGCGTAATAACCTGCATCCATCTTCTTGCTAGAATAGAATTAAACTGGTACACAATTGTAGTCACACCAACTTCAGATAGCTTATTCTTTGGACCATTGTGTACATATCTATGTGCTATTTATTGTTTGTTCAATTTATCATTGCTTCATCTGCTGATGGGCTTCCACTACAAATGGTAGCGTGACATAATGGCCACCAAAAGTTCTATCATCAGAAGCTCAGATAAACGTTCTGCTTTGCCATATTGAACACTACAGGAATATACATTTGAATAAGGTTGTGTAAACCATCAAAGGTCAGCTCCTTATGGGTTAATTGAAGACTGCCCAATCTTTTACTCAAAA